ATATACACATTTAAAAAATGAAAGGCGGACAATATAAAAAGAGCTAGAAAAATAATTCAAAATATTATTTAAAAAACTATAATATTATCTCTAAAGTAATACTTTACCAAAGATTTCTATTGCAAATTATTGTTGTTCTTGTGAACTTTCTACTTATCAAAGAATCCTAAAAAAAAAAGTATCACGGCTTCCACAAAAATATGCATTGTTTTCAACATTGATAATAAAAAATAAATGTTTCTTGAGCAGCAAATCAGCATATTAGAATGATTTCTGAAGGATCATCTGAAGTAATGATGCTAAACATTCAGCTTTGCATCACAAAAATAAACTGCATTATAAAATACATCACAGTACAAAACAGTTATTTTATATTTAGAAATATTTACAATATTACTGTTTTTACTGTATTTTAATCAAATAAATGCAGCCTTGGTGAGCATACGAAACATAAAAACCTTTGAATGGTAATGTAGATTTATTGTGTTCTAGCTGTTTCTAGGCTGTTCTGGCTGGTTGCTAAGCTATAGATTGATACTATATTGATCCCGAGTGTGTTCTCTAATAGGTGCGTCCTTTGACAAGAGCTCTGGGACGTGGTTGTCTCTGGCCCGTGTGGCGTCGCTCTGTAACAGAGCCGTGTTTAAGGCGGGACAGGACTCTCTGCCCATCCTGAAGCGTGATGTTGCGGGGGACGCCTCTGAATCGGCTCTTCTCAAGTGCATCGAGCTCTCCTGTGGCTCCGTCAAAGTCATGAGGGACAAGAACAAGAAAGTGGCTGAAATTCCCTTCAACTCCACCAACAAATACCAGGTTTGTTTACTGTTTAGTATCCGACGTGACTGAATCCAGAATCCATTAACTTGTTAACATTCAGTCAATGTAACGTTCACTTAATACTTAAAATAATATTGTATATATTTACTGTTGCAAAATAAAATTGGGGAAAAAAACTTTTATAGTTTTGGTGTATCAGAAATTTCATAGTTATTTTTCAAGGTAAATATAGTGGAACTCAAAGCAATAACAGTATGATACTGTATTATTTTAACTTTAAAAAAAAATTATTTTAACAAGATTTATGTTAATATTTTAAATCAATGAGTAAGAAAAAATATATATTGTATGTCCTGTCATGATTTACTTTAAGTGCATCATCATTTTTATCACCGTATTAAAACTTTTTACAGTTATTTTATATATATATATATATATATATATATAATATACCCTATATATATATATATATATATATATATTATACACACACACACACATACACACACACATTTCAATTAGAAATATTTTTATTTATCATTTATTTTATTATTTATTTTTAAATAATCTCTTAAATAGCAAAATATTGTTTAAAATGGTTTTAGATGGATTATATTCACACCACAGGACACAACTTCTCAACTTCCCAGCTTTCCAAATATATTTCATTTCTACTAACAACTATATTTAAAATATATATTTTTTTTAAATAGAGAAAATGTTATTAAATACTAATGAATTTTTGTCTGCTGACAATACTTTAATAACTATACTTTAATCATTTTACCGTATTAAATTGATTATGAATGATTCAATCTAAAGAAAACTACAGTTTAGTTTATGGGGGGATATATTATTATATTATTTATTTATTTATTACAGTAAGATAGTATGTCAGTTGAAAGTTGCTTTCAGTTAAGAGAGCTCAAACATGCATTTTAGTCTGGGACAAGGCTTAAACCTTGTCTTTGAAACGGGGCATTAATATATTGTTTGTATACTAAAATAAGCAGAAACATAGGCCTATACAGTATAGATTCTACATGCTCATCAAGTCAGCCCCTGAATAATTTAATTTTAAATCATTTTAAATATTCAGATCATATTCATTAATATTAATTTAGAATATAGACAAACCTAGATTACAGTAATTGTCTAGATTGGCATAATGTTTGATGTGCCCCATATTAAACCATTCCTCTTTTTTGCCGTTTTAAAATAATAATAATAACAACAGCACATTAATCAGTCACTTTGCCACTTCTAAACACTTCAAAAATGACACAACGCAAATCCTTTTTTTCTAAGGCTAAGGCTAACTGTCTTGTATTATTCCCGCATCACATTAAATTGCATTCATGACAAAGAACTGAACAGATGCAGATATCATTACATTATTTATCTATCAATAAACGCACACACCTTGTCCTCTGATGCTGGCGGCTTAACGCTCTGCTGAATCTGATTGAAAAACGCACTCCCTAAAGCCCCCCTAAAAAGGGCCTAGCAACGCCCCTGGTTTAGCCCATCATTTTAATTTTAATTTATTAAATTGATTAGGAAGGATTTTTATCTAAAGAAAACTACAGCTGTCCATTTAGTCCATTTCTCTAAGATATTTCTTTTTATTCTGATGAATGATTAAACAAGCTCATCTTTATTCACATTTATCAGATTATTCTGTTCTCATCAACACTCATTCTCGGATGTGTTTTCACACCAGCTCTCAGTGCACGAGACGGATGAGAATACCGACAGCCACTACCTGCTGGTGATGAAGGGGGCGCCAGAGCGCATCCTGGACCGCTGCTCCACCATCATGGTGCAGGGCAGAGAGCAGCCCATGGACGAGGAATTAAAGGAGGCCTTCCAGAACGCCTACCTGGAGCTCGGAGGACTGGGAGAAAGAGTGCTGGGTGAGAAATACAGAGATGTGACGTGGGGGATATGAAAATCAAACTACAGTATTGGATGTGCATGTGCTTTTCTGTTTCCTGCGACAAAAACTCTAAAATATAAATCCAAGACAAATGAAAAAAACAAAACAGTGGATCTTCAAAAGTGTTTCTGACTGCCTTTTTTCCTCCTTCCATCCAGGTTTCTGCCACTTGTTCATGCCTGAGGACAAGTACCCCAAAGGATTCGCCTTCGACACAGACGACATTAACTTCCAGACAGACAACCTGTGCTTTGTGGGCCTGATGTCCATGATTGACCCGCCCCGAGCCGCCGTCCCAGACGCCGTGGGCAAATGTCGCTCCGCTGGAATCAAAGTCATCATGGTGACCGGTGACCATCCCATCACGGCCAAGGCCATCGCTAAAGGTGTGGGGATCATCTCTGAGGGTAACGAGACCGTGGAGGACATCGCCGCTCGCCTTAATATTCCTGTCAGCCAGGTCAACCCCAGGTAGAGCATAAAAACCCTATAAAGCCTACTGCATCGTATTCGAAACTCAAATTTCTGATTTAAACTCCACTGTCCCATTTTGTATCTTCACTGATATAATTTCCTGTATACTTTGATAATATACTATGGATAAAAATATCACAGACGCTAAGGAAGCCAGTACTTAACTTTCATGATTTTCCCAAGGATGTTTTCCTGGATAGGCATGTTTTTTTATGTTTTCCTATCAACCGATCAGATTACTGGTTTGGGATTAAGCTTTAACAATATTATTTTCCACCAATCATTTGCTTTTAGAAGTAGGCTAGGTTTAGGATACGGTGTATGATTGCTTGATAGGAATATTGTTTCTAGGAATGACAAAGAATGCTGATTCAGGAACATGTCTAAATTGAATCCTGCTTGTTTTAACTATACTTTAAATATAAAATGCTTTAATACTCTCTATAATAACGTCAAAAGCAGGTCACTGGTAAAACATCTACACTTTTAAAACTAACGGTTCTTTATTGGCATTGATGGATCTATGAAGAATCTTTAACATCAATAGTACCTTTTAAATGCACGAAAGGTTCGTTATAGTGGGAAAAGACTCTTTAGATTTTAAAATTCTCAAAAGTTCTTCAAATTAAGAATAAATAAAGGTTTATTTAAGAACTGTTTACTGAAAGGTTCCTTGAGGAACCAAAAATGTTTTTTAAATGGAATCACTGCAAAAAAAAAAAAAAAACATTTTGAAACCTTTATTTTTAAGAGTGTACTGTAATATAGCCAAATATGTCTTAAGTCACTGGGGTATATTTGTAACAATAGGCAAAAATACATTGTATGGGTCAAAATTATCGATTTTTCTTTTATGCCAAAAATCATTAGGATATTAAGTAAAGATCATGTTCCATGAAGATATTTTGTACATTTCCTACCGTAAATATATCAAAACTTAATTTTTGATTAGTAATATGCATTGCTAAGAACTTCATTTGGACAACTTTAAAGGCGATTTTCTCAATATTTAGATATTTTTGCACCCTCAGATTCCAGATTTTCAAATAGTTGTATCTCAGCCAAATATTGTCCTATCCTAACAAACCATACATCAATGGAAAGCTTATTTATTCAGCTTGATGTATAAATCTCAATTTCAAAAATTTTACCCTTATGACTGATTTGGTGGTCCAGGGTCAAATATTTGCAACTTATTTGTGCAAAATATAGCCACTTTTGAATGTCCATCAATGGAGAAACATGATTTTGCCCAATAATCGTGTAGGTACATTATCTAGCTACATGGGAAGTCATGTAAAAAAGGCTGAATTCTGAATAATGTGATTTGTCTAATACTTCCGGCTCCTTTTTATCAAAATAACAGCAGATGTACAGTTTGTCTGATTTTGATACAACCAGAGAGCAGAGAGTCTTCATTTGGTATTCTTCATGGGTGTGTTGTCAGGGATGCTAAAGCCTGTGTGATCCACGGCTCAGATCTGAAGGATCTCTCGCAGGACCAGATGGATGAAGTGCTGAAGAATCACACCGAGATTGTGTTCGCCAGGACCTCTCCCCAACAGAAGCTCATCATCGTGGAGGGCTGCCAGAGACAGGTGCACACCTAAATAACACACACAAAGGATTGAAATCTAACTGTAGTTCATTATTAGTCATGATTACAATATCAAGGGAAACAACTGACTTATGTTTTTACACACTCTCTGTGTCGTTTAGGGTGCCATTGTGGCAGTGACTGGTGATGGAGTGAACGACTCGCCCGCTCTGAAGAAGGCAGACATCGGTGTTGCTATGGGGATCTCTGGCTCAGACGTCTCCAAGCAGGCTGCAGACATGATCCTGCTGGACGACAACTTTGCATCCATCGTTACTGGAGTTGAGGAAGGTAAGAGAGAGGGGGAGACAAAGGATATGGGAAAGATAGACAGAAATCCAGAGCAAGCCAGAAAATGAAGGCAGCTCATATGAGGCAATTATTTTCATCGATGACCCGGATTTTGATCTTTGTTCTTCATTATTAATTCTTTAATTGGAGCGCCATCACATTTCACAAATCTAGTGGTTGCTAGTCTACCTGAGGTCCATAAAACATTCATAATATAATATAATATAATATTATATTATACAAAACAATATAAATAATATTAATAAAAACAGTTTTATTATAGTATAGTATAGTATAGCTTAATGTTTTGAAAACGACAACAACTTTGAAGAAAACTAGGTAATATTTCAAATTAAATAGTAAACACAATTGAGAATGTCTTTATATTCACTTTTTGAAAAAAGCATATCAAATATTCTTTTTATTTGTATTAATTCAAATTAAACATTTATTATATATAACTATATTATGGTTACGGTTATATTCAATAAATTACTTATGGTTATATTCAATAAATGTAAAAAAAAAATCTGAATTAAAATCCAGATAATTACAGAAAACCAAAAAACAGGATTAATAAAAATAATAAGTACAAATTAATATTTTTATTAATTGTGTTATTTGTATTTATTGATTTATATGTATCAAATAGTTTTAGTATAGTATCGTTTTTAATGCTTTGATAAATAAAATCAACAAAATGTAAACAAAAAATTAAGTTGGTGACATTTAAACCGATTAATAAACACACTGAGCATGTTTTTGTATAGTACATTTCATAAAAAAGGCTTTTATAGTTTTTAGATTTTGACATATGTATTAATATTAAATACAATCATATGACTTATATATTTTTAATTATATGCACGACACTTCTTTGCAAGCAAAATGTCTTGACAAATTTTGGTAAAGCACAGGAACACAGTCCAGAAGAATGAGAGAAACGACTTTGACTCAGGTAATGGTGAAGTCTGTTTACATTTTGTTCTCTCCCAGGTCGTCTGATCTTTGATAACCTGAAGAAGTCCATCGCTTACACACTGACCAGCAACATCCCTGAGATCACTCCCTTCCTGTTCTTCATCTTAGTCAACATTCCTCTCCCTCTGGGAACCATCACCATCCTCTGCATTGACCTGGGCACTGACATGGTGAGACACGCACACGCGCACACACACACACACACACACACACACACAGACTCAATCTAATGTCTTTATTTCAATAATGAACATATTGGTCAATGTAACTGGAACTGTTCTTTTCTAGTTATAATTCTCACCTTTTTTCTGAAATACACTCCCTTGTTATATTAACCAATCATTACTTTTCATCTCAGGTCCCTGCAATCTCATTGGCTTATGAAGCAGCAGAGAGTGACATCATGAAGCGGCAGCCTCGTAACCCCCACAGGGACAAGCTGGTGAACGAGCGTCTCATCAGCATCGCCTATGGACAGATCGGTTAGTGAGCTGCTACATTATTAAAAAATGTCTTTTAGTTCGGCTTTGGTTAAACTTCTGTAGAAAGAGACCAACTGGTCTACTGACCCAAAATGACCTGAATAAAAGTGACTTCCTGTCATATATAGGTATGATTCAGGCCCTGGGAGGATTTTTCAGTTATTTCGTGATTCTGGCTGAGAACGGCTGGCTTCCCAGTCTGCTGGTGGGCATCCGGCTGAACTGGGACGATCGCTCTAACAATGACCTGGAGGACAGTTACGGACAGCAATGGGTAAACATGCTGAAGAGCTACATTGCACTGCATCAGATGACACAAGCTATACACATATTTGATAGAATAGCTTTGACATTTATGCATTTGGCAGATGCTCTTGACCAAAGCAAGGTACATTGCATTTTATATTTATTAATTTAGCAGTTGCTTCTATAAAGAGACAAACAAAAGTGTTGGCCTGTCATTGGCCTTAGGCTTCCGTCTTAGCTATTATCTGGTTTAACATACTGTACAAGAAAACAAAACCATACAGGAGAACATGCAGATTTTCAAGACAGGAAGTGCAACTAAGATAAGCTTATTCATAAGGATGCATCTATAGATTGCTGTTCAAACACACTCACAGAGATATTTCACAAGTGTTTGGCATTGTAGAAAAAAAAAAAAAAGATTATAGATGATTGAGATATCTAAACCAGGATTATTATAGCTAACTGAAACTAATATGAATAAAACCATAACGATAAAAAAAAAACATTCTTGTTATTTGAAATAAAATAAGTGTTAAATTAAATAAAATAAAATATAAAAGACATAACTTGATGTACTAAATAACTAAATCGAAAGCTGGAATTTAAAAAAAACACTATATATAGGCCTACATACTAAAAAAACAAAAACTAATAAAAATGACAAAAATGTGAAAAAATTACTGACTTTAACAAAAAAAATAAAAACTTCAACAAATCATTTAAACCATTAATAAAATCTATAATCTCATTGATACTAAAAGAACGCTGATCTAAACAAATCTAGCAAAACATACAAATGTAATATACACTACCATTCAAAAGTTTGGGGTTGGCAAGTTTTATTTGTTTCTTTGTTTTTGAAAAACAATATCACCAGAGCTGCATTTATTTAATCACAAATGCAGTAAAAACAGTAATGTTGTGAAACAGTATTACAACATAAATAACTTTTTATATTTAAATATTTTAAAATGTAATCACATGATCCTTCAGAAATCAGTTGTGTTGATATTTTTTGTGGAAACCACGATACATTTTTTTTTTCAGGATTCTTTGATAAATAGAAAATTCAAAAGAACAGCATTTATTTGAAATAGAAATCATTTGTAACGTTATAAATGTCTTTCCATCACTTGTGATCAATTAATTGCATCCTTGAGTCATCTTTTTTTTTTTTATGTCAAATCTTTCTGAACCCAAACTTTTGAACAGTAGTGTATGCGAACATGGAGCATATAAGAGTGTGTAATCATAAATGTAATCTTTCTGTCAGACGTATGAGCAGAGGAAGATTGTGGAGTTCACCTGTCACACGGCTTTCTTCGTCAGTATCGTGGTGGTGCAGTGGGCCGACGTCATCATCTGCAAGACTCGCCGCAACTCTGTGTTCCAGCAGGGCATGAAGTTAGTATCTCTCTCCATGTCCCATTAACACTAAGATTCCACATTTGCAGAAAGTTGAATCAAATATGAAGCAGTGACTGAAACAGACTAGCTGAGCTAAGTGATTGTGCTTGTTCTTTGTAGGAATAAAATCCTGATCTTCGGCCTGTTTGAGGAGACGGCTCTCGCTGCCTTCCTGTCTTACTGTCCCGGCATGGATGTGGCCCTCAGGATGTATCCTCTCAAGTGAGTGTTACCTGCATAAAAAGCCAATTTAAAATGTGCATCCTCATTATCATAGTGAAAGGAAACAACAGTTTAACTCATGTGAATCCTCTTTTTTTCCTCTCGTTTCTTCTCTCAGGCCCAGTTGGTGGTTCTGTGCGTTCCCTTACAGCTTCTTAATTTTTGTTTACGATGAGATCCGAAAACTTATCCTGCGCCGAAACCCAGGAGGTACACAGCTTGAATTATTCTCTAAATATATATACATATTTTAGCTATATTGCAGGCTTATGATGATATTCAGTATATAACTATTGATATTTACGTATTTACTCTGCCATGGCTTTTTGTAGTCAGTTACATTGTCATTCAAAAGTTTGAGGTCAGAAAGGATTTTTTATTGTTTTTAAAGCCTTTAATGCTCACCAAGGCTGCAACTATTTGATCAAAAATCCAGTAAAACAGTAGGATTGTTGCCATAGGCGGAGAGTGAACCAACTCCAGGGTAAGGCTAAAAGCAGCCAAATGTATTAAACATCATAAACCAGACATGGGTGTCATGTAGGCTAAAAAATGTTTAATGGGACTGAATTTGTATTTAACGTGATTACAATTTAATAAAAACCGTTCAAAATTGATAATTATATAACGTTTCCTTTCCACTGTTATTAAAACAGCGAATAAATTATATATAGAAAGTGACATTATCACTAACATTGATCTATCGTGAGTTTAAGCACTCTCAAAAAACAAAACTATCGTTATAATCACTGAAGCTTACTTACATTGTTACGTACATCTGCGCTTTGCTGTTTATGATGAGAGAATTCGCAAGAGTCTGGAATTCAGTCAGTGAACGCGCGCGCACTCAACAAAACTGATGAGTTTCAACGATGACTCATCTGAATGCTTCTGATTGGCCATTGCATTCCTAAGCTCAACAGATATGTGTTAAAATCGCAACACTGCAAAAACGCCTAAAATGAAATACGGTGCAACATGAGCAGATCTTAATTTAATGCCGCAATCGACACTGTCTGTTCATATTCACTTTGTTAGCAACAGACGTAATAGATTTAATTTGTTTTTGCAGGGGCATTTTTCTCCAATTTAGTGGCATTTACACACCCTCCGTCTATGTTTGTTGCATTTAAAAAAAAATCAACAGTAGTATCGTTGCAATTAAAAAAAACAGCATTTATTTGAAATATGTTTGAAATATGTTTTTTTGTAACATTAGAAATGTCTTCAAAATCAATTTAATGCATCCTTGCTGAATAAACCTATTAATTTATTGTAAAAAAACATACCGATCCCAAACTAAAACACAGTAAATATGTAGTTAAAATAAATCAAGGATTTATTTCTAAACTGTTTCTCACTAAATGAACCAAAAGGAAAATAATATAAAAAATTTTCATAAAAAAATACTTTGCGAAAAGGCAAAATTGACCTAC